AACCCTATATCCCTAAATCCTAAACCCTAAATCCCTAAATCCCTGAACCCTAAGCCCTAAATCCCTAAACCCTTTTCAAATTAAGTCTCAGAGGTGAAGAGCACACCGTGAACCCAAAACCCCATTCTTCCCTAGCCAGCCTTGACAGCGACTGCAGCCGCGTCCGTCATCGCTAGACCTGAATCCTTGTAAACCCCTATCAAATCCTAAGTTCCTGTGTTGACTTTCCGTTATCTTTTTCCAGTTGATTCCCCGTTGTTGGGGCGATATCTCTATGTAATCCCTCCTATGTTTTGATGCTGTCTCACAAAGCCGGATCCGCTTTTGGAAACGGCTTTGCCAAATACCCATTCAAGGACGATAAAGGCATTCTTATTGGGCTATCTGTATTTCATACTATTTGTGATTATTTGTGGACGCTCCTGGGTTTCGGCATCCCCTCCTGACTTCCAGAAACTGCACCCGGAATGCCAGCTGGGCTTCCAGCTAAAAATTCATCATTTGGTGGAAATTATTGTGGATCTGGTTTGTTCGGAAAGGTCCGGAATAATGAATTTTTTGAAGGGCCCAGAATACTAAAATCAACAAAATTTATTATAAAGATAATTGTTTGTTTTAGCCAGAGGCATAATAGAAACAGCTTGCAGGTGTTTTCCAGATTACTTCTTCTCTTAGACCAGGCTACCTTAAAATTGAAAGGCTTTCAGCCAACCCTACGTATAGGTGCCGAAATCCAGAAACTAAGAGACCCGGTTTAGGGTTTAGGTTTAGGGTTTAGGGCTTTTTCGGGAGTATTCGAAATCATTGGGGGTGGTCCAGCAGAGGCCGGATCCACGTTAAGCGGTTTGTGTTTCTTTCAGGGGTCTGGAATCATAGTAGATTTTTCCAGCCGCTTAAATTTTCACCAGAATAACATCCATTTTAATTGACTTTAAAATTCTAATTGGATTTCAAATGGTTTTAACGTGGTTTTGAATTGATTCGAGTTAAATGTGCACTTGTTTTACTTAGGTTGCCAATTGGTCTATATAACCCCCTTTAAGGAGTCTAGACTATAGCTCATGTAGCTTGGCAAACCCTACTGGATGGTTGGCTTGAGCCGAAAACCGTGCCTTGACTGCTGGCCTGTACCCACGGCCTGCGACTCCCCTCCCCGTACTGAACCCCGCACCCTTAAGGTTTAGGCTTTGGATATTCAAACCCCCCCCAGCCCCCTAATATTCAATACTCCCACTGTGGTATATTTGTATAGTTATATTGGGAATGTCTAATATCAGGGGGGCGGGGACCCAGTTGCAAGGATATATTAAAGGGACTACCTAGATAGTCAGATAATATAAATGAAGAGACGCATGTGCCCCTTAAGGATGGAAAAGATATTGTTGGAGAAACTCCATCATCAACTTTCGCTCGCTGCTAGCTCTGGTTTGTAGTATACTATGGTATATTATGGTATCATAGCAAATTATAATATATTTTGGTGTATTATGGTATAATAGTATATTATGGTATACTATGGTATAATAGTATATTCTAATAGAACTATGGTATGTTATAATATATTTTAATACAGTACAGTATATTACAGTACAGACTCACTTTGATAGTTTCGCTCACCATGTGCAGAACACGCGGCTGACCAACCAGAAATGCATTGGCAACCCAGCTGAACACTCGGAAGACCCTGCGTTCCCAACACTCAGGGGACTTTAGTGAGCCTCAAACAGGGAACCCCAAGAATATAGTAGGAATATAATGGAATATAAGGACCCTGGGAAGTATATTCTTACCTAATTCCTATTATATTCTGTAAGTACATTCCGATAATATTCCTACTATATTCTGGGGGGTTCCTGTTTGGGGTTCCCATTCAAGTCCCTATAAACACTCGCTGCGGGGCGGAGCGAGCACCTCAGAAAGTGGATGTCGGCCGGACGCGTTGGGACTAGCAGCTTCCGCCTTGCAAGGGTTTAGGGTTTAGGGTTTTAGGGTTTAGGGTTTAGGGTTTAAGGTCTAGGGTCTAGGTTAGGAGGACCCCCACCCTGTAATAGTGGTATAATAGAACTATAAGAGGGCCCTAATAAAAGTACCATTATCCCTTATAGTCACTGTTTCTGGGTGGGGGGGTCCACCTCAGTTTGGGGTTTAGGGAGGCAGACAGGGACATGGTGCTTGCTGACTACGGCATATTGGGGTAATGTTGGGTTAACATTGGGATTACATTGGGGTTATGTTGGGGTAATATTGGGGTAACATTAGGGTTATATGGGTTTCCTTCACTTTTACAAGGCTTTTTGCGAACCGTCTCCCAAGATCTTGGCCTATCAAAAACACCTGTCAGACCCTCATGTGAAATCACGACCTTATGAGTTTACAGTGAAAGTTCACTGTGGCAATCTTGAAAGATAAATCTGAGCACTCGCCGCCAGGAGTTCGATACAGAATATTCTGTACGTTTCCGGAAGGACCATTATCCTGTCTTGGGACTGTCATGAGCAAAGCCTCGCAGTTTCACTTCGGCCTACGGACCAACGTCAAGCACACCATTTGCAAACTCTAAGATCTGGGCACGTGCGACTCATCGCCTGCATCATATCGGAGGGCAACCGACCGGGGCAACTTTTGCCAGGAAATGCTGCAGCAGTGTTGGCCCTCCTTGCTGGGTCCCAATAATGAGGACTACACTTCTGAACGCATAGATCGGGGCAGTTGGAGACACGCCACAAGCTTTTTCCACCGTGAGCTGAAGTCAGCTGTGAAACTGGGCCCTCTGAAGGCCTAGGTAAAGGCAGCCTCGTCTGAGGGAGGTGCAGGCTGTCTGGTCCAGTCACTGCGCTTGCTCTCAATCCCCTTATATGTGTGTGCCTTTTGTCTGATTTTCTTTCTTCTTTGCTCCATCTCCTTGTTGTGCGTGTAGCCCACCTGAGCACGAATGCGTAACATCTGCTCATCCTTCTGGTCTTCGGTGAGATGGGCCCAGAAACATTCATGGAGGGTAACCACCCTCAGACCTATTTTTCGGGCAATCCGTGACTTCAGCCCAACCCAGCCCGAAGGTCGGGGTCTTCCTGGCCCAAGTGGCAACATGGAGTCACACTCCAAGGCCACTTTGGGCTCCATCATGAAGCCTGCAAACCAGCAGTGTTGCTCGTCCCACTCGCGCCCGAAGGAGCAGTTGAGCAGTGCTTGGGTGTTTGTTCGTTGCAGGCACATGTCCACATCTCTCTGCATCTGATCGGCGCCCTGTGGCTGGGCGTGAATAACAATGCTGTCTAGCCAGCGGTGGTGAAGCAACTCCTGAATCCACATAGGCATCGCCCGCTTAACAGCTTCTTCACATGTCGGCTTCTCAACATCGACACAGTACAATGTCTGATAAAGAAAGAACTGCGCCCATCCAGACTGCTCGAGTTCCGATTTGTCCTGAAGCTGCTCGCACGCACGGACAATGAGGAGCGGCAGCACTGGATAGTCGTTGGCTGTCTCGCTTACATCATACAAGCCAGACATCACCACACCGAAAGCTGCCCTTGACCAGTCATGGACACTTCCGCCCGAATCCGGGTCATCTTCCTCCAACAAAGCTCTACGGCCCAGCTCTTGTATGACCATCGCGCAGAGCGGTCCATAATCACGGGTTCTCGATCCATCCACCTCATCAAATATGACCTGTTCACCGCCCAAGCCCAGCGAGGCAATCGAATGAAGCAGTAAGCTTAAGGCCTCCACACGGAAGTTGGTGAGGCTTCGCTCTACTGCATCGAGAAGATGGGGTAGCAGCGGAACGCAGCGGTAGTCCATGCAGGCCATGGAGTAGAGCAGGAGAGGCGCCACGGCGTCAGGGAGCTCATGCCGCACTTTCCACAAATCGTGTGCCAAGGATCGAAACTGCTTGTGTTTGGTCAGCAGCTGGCGGTCTGCAGTCGAGAAGAAGGAGTTTGGATCGAAAAGGAAGCCGAGCTGAGCAAACGCACGGATCAGCACAGCGGAGTCCGCCCCACCGCTAGATACGTGCCGCTGATACACATCCAGAACCTTGGCAGGATCAGTCAAGACCTGAGCAGAAGCCAGATCTGCCAGGTCAGTTGGTGTCAAATCATGCGGAGGGACTGTCCGAAAAACGTCAGTCTGCAGCAACTCTTTGGGCTGCCGGGCCCGCAGTGCCTCCATTGACACCATGTTTGGTGTGTAGGTTATACTGCGGTGAGCTGCTCGACTTAGCACTCTGCGCAAGCATCCCGGAATAGAAGGCCGCTGCATTCCGAGCAAAGCCAGGATTAGCAAAGCATGACAACATGGAGACCTTGAGCCATTGCGACGTTATGCTGGAGATTCGCTGGCTTGGATTTAGCAGAATTCTCTCTCTTCTACACCACCCACTGTCAAATGAGCATCAAACGCAGTCTTGAAGGGGGTAGTAACTCTTGGTTCCGCAGGAATTGGCTCCACTATTTCGAAAAGAATCGAATAGATACTATTTACTTACTATTTACTCTCTATTTACCATATACCTAAACTATGGTAGCTTAACCCTATGCCGTGTATCACCCCTATATCGCCATGACACCTCCATACAGACCCTTTAACTCCTTTGAAGTCAACTCATATTATGGTAACTCAGTGTACGTTCTTTGAAAGCACAGGAAGGACGCCTTGTGCCAGTCGCCCACCTAGGCCTTCGGTGTCCACCTCCACGGCTCTCTTCCTGCGCTTCGTTTGCACCATCTGTCCCTGCGTCATCATTGCAGTGGTAGCAGTAGTGGCAGTGGTAGTGGCAGTGGTGGTAGTAGTGGTAGTAGTGGTAGTGGTAGTAGTAGTAGTAGTAGTAATAATAATAGTAGATGATCAGCATACCTTTGGTAGCTTTGGAGGGTGATAGTCACGAGGAATCAGTGTTGGCGTGCAGAAATACCTCTGACCTTTTTGGGGGGCGGAGCGGCCTAGGGCCTTATGAGCTATAGTCTAAACTCCTAGTATCCCCCTTACTAACCCCTACAGTAGTTCCCTATATAATACTATGGCTCTTATGATAACGCTACGCAGGAGATGAGCACGCTGAAACTGCTGATGCTTGCTTGGTCTTCTTTGCTGGGTTGGCCCCTAAAACCCTTTGAAAAATATTAGTATATAGGGTCCCTTATTAAAGCCATTAAGGAAAATGTTAAATATTTCAGGGGCCTACCCGTTTGGCCTTGCCCACAACTGTAGTGGCTCACCACATCCTCGTCATTTTCGTTGTCGCAGTCTCTGTTGTTGTTCATCTTCTTGTCCGGTTTCGGCTCTTCGTCGTAGCAACACTTGGGCAGCCGTGAAGCAGCAGGAACAAGTAGTGGCAGCGCTAGCAATAGCACTCTGAAGTAAGAATGGGAGTTGGAGCAGGAGGACGAGGAGTTTTGTGATAGAAGAGAGTTGGGACATGTTCACCACCCGGACAGGGCTCCTTGAAAGGCCGCACAGCCTGCGACTTCAAGGACTATTGACTGGGATTGGGAGTAGTAGTACCGGAAGTGGGGAAGGAGGAGGAGCAGCAGTAGCAGCAGCTCTTAGCCTAGAAAGTTAGGATCTTTCATCTTCCTTCCTCGAGCAGGGCATGTTGCCCTGCAGTCAAAGTCTTGGACTACAACAACGCTCTGTCCAGGTGCCATTTTGCCATACATCACCGATGATGTAGTCTGCCTCGTCAAGCCAGTCGGCAGTCAAATGACTCTTCAAGCTTGAATGCAGCAGGAAACATCAGACTGCTCTGACATGTCCAGGTTTCGGACCTCTTCATGCGCCTGGGATGCCTGAGCAGTGTCTGCCACTTCTTTGGGCGCCGGCCTGAGCCAGCAGTCATGAAGGCAGCTTCGGATTGAAGAAGCGGAAAACCGAGCACGAATAAAACGCCGCAATCCTACAATAAGTTCCGCACGCGTCTTCTTTGGGCCGCGCAGGGGTCATGAACCTAGCAGCTGAAACTCAAACTTCGCGTGAAAGTGTATGCAACGCTTCGTGAACTTCGGAACCCTTGTGAGCAGCCGCGCCTCAGCAAACTTGCAGCCTGCAAGGCATTGCATGTGCCAAACTAGCGCTTGAATCACAACGAGCGGCAATCAGCACGTAGTACATTCGCGAAGGCAAGCCTGCGAGCACCCTGCCAGCAGCAGCATGCCGACCACGGCGGCAATCTGGGCAAAACAGCAGCCAAATTATCAATCAGGATTGATCTCCCTTCTCCAAGAAGCATGGCCAGCTTACAGCCCTGCGCAGAAGGAAACGCATGTTGGTGGAGCTCGGGTCGGCGCCAGGCCGTGCGCAGGATGGCGTCGCCTGAGCTTGTGCTTGAAACTGACCATGCAGCGAGGGCGCGACAATGCTTTTGCATGCGCTGTCTCACCAACAAGTCAATTCATAGAAAAGCGAATCTTAACAATTTTGGGTTCACGAAGCTGGAAATTGGGCTTCAAATGATATTGGCAGTCATCAGCCTGCGTCAACAGCTTTTTGTTTGCCTCTTTGGCATCTTGCTTGGTCCGTGATCCATGCTCAGGTCGGCCAAGGCGATGCAGATGTCATCTAGGACAAGGCCTGAAGCTCCAGGGGCTGACTCCTGCTGTTTCCGACTGGTGAAATTATATCAAGAGTTCCAGTCAACAAACGGCTCCAAAGGTGCTGCAAACCCTTGGAGCCTGTATGTTCAAACAGCCCCAGCTTTAGTAAGATCCACTCTGAGGGCAGTTTTTTGGCAGGCTCTGCATCTGACAGTGTCTGACTACCTGCGTCCAATCCTTTAGATTGTCCGCGCACGCGAGAAGTACACAACCAGTGTGAGGATCAAGCTGTATTGTTTCGAGCGTTGATCGAGCTACCATAAAGAAGCAGTGTCCTAGCATTATTCGGCCTCTTGCCGTTGCCCATGTGAGCCGCATGTCTCGTGATACTCCTCAATGCGACAAGCCCACTCCTCCTGCACGAAGGTGAGTCGGCTAGAGTAGGATTGCCGGTCGGGCACGCACGCCTCCATCTCGCGAAATTCGGCCTTTTGCCGTTGCCCATGTGAGCCGCATGTCTCGTGATACTCCTCAATGCGACGAGCCCACTCCTCCTGCACGCAGGTGAGTCGGCTAGAGTAGGATTGCCTGTCGGGCATGCACGCCTCCATCTCGCGAACAACCGTGTCAGCCTGGCTTCTTAAGAGTGCAGCCTTCGCTTGCGCATCATCCCTCTCGAAAGTAGCATTTGAAAGATCAGGCCGATGCTGGAAAACCTCCGGCACATCTGACCAGCAGTCGACAGCCTCCTCCCACTCGGCCCAAGCTTCAACCCGGGACTCGTTCAGCTGCTTGGCCTTCTCTAGCTCGCGCATGGCTTTGTCAACCGAGGTCTTTGCAGGATCAATGTTTACCTCAGCACCGGGCACGAAGCTCGCCACATCAAGGCAATGTTTCACAAAAATCCTCTCAGCCTTGGCTTGACCCTTGCGGAAGTCAGCCTCATAGCTCTGACATGCATCTTGCTGCTGCTTGTTGAGGTCTTCTTTGGACGCCAGCAAGCCTTGGAATAGGGACTCCTCCAGATTTATTTGATCTTGAGCTTTTTGTCTCTTGGACTGCAGCGCTACCACCACCTGGTGACCATCAGCATCCATGTAAGCTTTGAGGAACGTATTCACATCCACGTTCTCAAAATGATGTGCCTCTCGTAGCACAAAGTCCCTGAAGTTAATGCCACTGAAGCCCAGTGGTTCCATCTGTGCTGCAACTTCATCAACGCTTAGCTGGTGGCTTCCTCCACCACACATGCACAAGATATGGGGGCCAATCTGGGAGTGCATCTTCCAACCTCTGTTCGCAGGACAGTCGAGGGAATGGAGCTTCCTACGGATCACTTCTGCCGGATCCTCTGGCAACGAGATGCGCGGTCTGCGCTCACAGTCTAGTCTGGTAGGCACTAACCTCTGATAAGCCGGTCTTGGCGGATCCACCAACACCAGAGACACTGGGGCATGCAGCGGTGGAGGTGGCACAGTTGCCTATCACGCCAACAGGTGCAACAAAGTGCGAGCCAAGTCGATTCAACAAGTTCCCTATCAAACTTCCCATGCACAGTGCTGAGGGCACCAGTAGATCCTTGCCAAAAATATGCCAAGATGCAACACCAATCCGCAGCAACAGGAACCGCATGCCAGGCCAGCGCCGAGTCCAGAGCTTGGAGTGCACGAGGAGGTGTTGCTCTGCTAACTGGTCCTTCCCAGACCCCCGAAAGGATCCAAAAAATGGAACCCCCCCAATATGAACCCATTACTACATTGGGGAAACTAGGGGATTATTAGGGGGCTCCATTTTTTGGATCCTTTTTGGGGGGTCTGGGTTTGCCCAACTTGGAAGTTCCCGAACTTTGGAACATCCATGCCGGCTGGGGGTTTCCCAGAATTAGGATACCCTTTTTGGGGGGCCCCCATAATAAGGATTATAATATATCGGGGTCTATGCTGGGGTCCCCTTATTTTGGGAAACTAACGGTTGAGGGATAATAGTTACGATTGATAGGGGCCGCAACATTTAACTCGATTTATGACAAGCTTCATTATAGGTACTCCCAACCCCTAAACCCTAAACCCTAAACCCTAAACCCTCAAATTTTGGAAGCTGCCAAACTATGGGATCCGTGACTAAGGAAACCTCAGATCTGGTCCAAATGGTAGTTTCCCTAAAATACTGTTCCCAAAATGGGGGAAATTTATATAGGGCCCCGTATTATAATGGGAACCCAAATGTAGGACCCCGTATTATAGGGAATTTAGACTAATCCCCAAATGATGAGGGGCAAATGTGACAAAACACAAAGCTCTCTAAGCCCTAAGCCCTAAACCCTAAGTAGTAGTTTCCATTTTTCCAGTATCCCTCTAAAACCCTATATCAAACCCCTATATTCCCTTCTTCCCTATTATGATTCATCTCACTTCCTACTTCATACAAAGCTATCTCTTAAACCCCCGCCTTGGTGTAGCTCACTGGCCTTTGCCTTTCATCTCGAATGGCCTCTGCACATGCTGAGCAGTAGATGCCATCCTGTGTTGCTGCTGAGGAACTTAAATCAAGTCACCATAATAATGGGTATGTAGTAAATAACAGTGTGTCCTTTTTAGAGTAGCTGAACCCTAAACCCTAAATAGTAGCTTCCATTTTGTTTTCCATTCTCCCTACATCCCCCTATGTAACCCCTACATATCCCCTGAACCGCAACCCAGCATCGGAGAGGCACACGGCTGGGCCCTGATGCCACTGGTTCCTGCCAAGCGTGGCGGGGCAGCATCGTTCAGGATCCCAGGTGCCCTGCACGAGGTGCACCTCGAAGGCCCCAATTCCTGAGTTGCTGTTAAGGAACTTATTTTAAGTCACTATGACGGGGAAACCGTATTATTTACTATANNACTATATATATATATATACACCCAGTATGGTAACTTATTAGTCTAAATTCCTTAACAGTAACCCAGATTCGGCTGGGGCCCGAGGACTTATGTGACACGTTGGATGCATTGCCTCTCGGCAGATGCCGCTCCCATTCTGAGAACCTGTCGTAGATGCCATTGCCCTTCTTCAGCCCAGAAGGCGTCTTGAAATCCACAACGCTGACGCCCTTGTCGGACAGAGCTTTCCGAAGTTCCGCTGCAAGCCGTTTGTACTTCTCACCCCAGATGTACGTGTCAGGATCCTCGCTCAGCGGCTGAGCATGCGCTGGCAGATAACCACTCTCGCTCCAGTTCATCTCAATGCAAACGACACCCCGATGTTTTGGACCTAATGGTGGGGCTGCCTTGACCAGCTTGAGAACTTTGCTCTTCAGCTGGGCAGGCACCAGCTCATGAATGGGCGGCGGTCCCTGGGCCACATCGCTTACGGATGCACTTCGCTGGACAGATCGCACACCAGGCGGCTGCGGACTGTTTGTGCTAGCTGGCTTCCTGGACACACTAGGTGCAACGGGTGCGCTCGGCGAGCGTCTAGATGGATAGCCTCCGTTACCACCAGATCGACACGAGTAATCAACCCAGAAGCGCTCAGGTGGTTCGAAGCGCCGAGATCGGGAGAATGCGCCAGTTGTTGATCGAGTTCTGTTCAGGGATGGCTCGCTGAGGGTGCGGCGAATGGACATCTTATCCACTGCCCCATAATAATTTCCGGCACAACCCTACTTGCAGGACAAGCCAGAAAGATGCCGCACCGCATTTGCTCAGCAAGCATGCAGGGAAAACCTCCTCGTGAGGCGTCAGAAAAGAAGCATGCATTCGCATGGAGGCCAAACTGGAAACAGTTTATCTCAAGTCCAACATTTCCGAAGGAATGTAATTATATGAGCCATAGTCTAAACTCTTAGCATCCCCTTAATAGCCCCTTATATAATCCCCTATATGACCCCCGTTACGGAATGTAGTCTATAGCTCAATACGTACTCATCAGGATGGCATCCTTTGCGCTGCATTTTCCAAACGGATCCCATAGCCAAGGCGTCATGGGGACTTCGTAAGTAGGTTAGTAACCCCTATAATTCAAAACCCTAGTTATCCCCAGTAGTAACCTACTTACTAAGTCCCCATGACCCTCCAAGTGCAGGATCCAAATTATGCAACTGTTTGACCCCTACCGTGTCCGTCATGTGTACCTTACCCAAGCCCGCATGCCGCACTCTGCGTATAGTACTTTGGCTGAATTGTAGCCCTGGCTCCTGCTTTGCATGCTATTACTGTGCACTATACGGAAAATCCAATGCTGCGACCAAGCGGCAGAAAGCGTAACAGTCTGAGGGTGCGTGGCATCGGACAGAATACCACACATACCGCAAACCTGCTGCGGAGTGAATGTGAGATCTTCCTGCTCTTTGCACACACCTCCAACATCCTGCCCCGTGAAAAGACCAACAGGATCAAAGCTCGGGAGTCTGACTTGGTGAGCGTGCGCTTAATTCGGCTATCCCAAACTTGTACCCCTCCGCCACCAAAGTATAGATTAAGATGAGGAGCAGGCACTTCTGGAGCACCGCCCTCGCACCACACTCCCTCTTGAGGCTTCCTATCGATACCGCAGTGGCCAGGTGCACCCTGATCCTCGGCTGGAGTGGTGCGCAGACATGGCACGGTCTGCATCCCAAGATGATGGCTCTCAGATTGATGTTTGAAAGGAAACCAGAATCCAAGAAACGCCCTCCTCGGATGCGACCCGGCTTCACTAGAGTGCCTCAGGAGGCGCATGTAACCATCTTCGCCCCAAGCCTGGCAAGCAGCATCAGCGGATGCGCGGTTGCACACTTCAGCAAGACTCCTGGGGCCCAGCCTTGCCCCAGGAGTTTCGTATCAAGAAATAATCTCTTCCCATGACATCTTGCCCATAGCCTTCCGGGCCGGCGGGCGTGTGTGGCATGCTGCAAACGCTTGAAATGCCATAGAATAGCGGCCTACCAGAACCACGGCGTGATTGACTGTGGCATCCCGCTCACAGGCATCGAAGACACCATGGCCGTAGAGGTCCCAGCGCGATGCATCCACCCCAACCACAAGTGGACCTTGCATGCGCTCATTCAGGGTGGATCATGCCTACTTCTGTCTAAGTCGGTTCAGTGCCCCAGCCCAGCGTGGCCTCTGCGCGCAAGGGCCTGCAGCATGGAGTTCAAGCTGTTGCTGGGGAGGCGGACGAAGCCTGCTTGCATGGTAGGTAGTAAAAAACTGATGCTGTGCATGAAGCTAGGCTGTGAACCACTGCCAGCAACCAAATTGAAGCCTAGAGAATACCCCATTATAGTAGTTTCCATTTTATTTTCCATCATCCCAATATAACCCCAATATTACTCCAATGGGTCAGTTGTAGATCCTTCCCTAGCTGGGCATGCACATGGATTTGTCATGATCTACCTCTCACACAAGACTCTTCTGATTCTGCCAGCTTCCTGCCTTGTAGCTGCACATGCGGGCGGCCCACTCTGCCTGAGCACCCCTCCTCCTTCTTGGTACCACTGGAGGGATACGAGCTGCTTGTGTACAAGCCGTGCTGCTGCACATACCTTGCGATCAGGGAAACCGCTGCCAGCGACTAGTTCTGCCTTGCCATCATTTCCATTTCAATAGTTTCCATTTTCTTTTCCAGTATCCCTATATATAACCCAAGAATATACCCCACATTCTATCACCCTAAACCCTAAACCCTAAACCCAAGCTACTCAAAGGCCAGCTCGGAGTTGGCGCCATCACATCCACCAAGGCCACCACAGTGCTGCGGATTTGGGACACAGTCCTGAGACTTCAGGTTGTGCAAGATATAGTCCCCCTTAAGTAGATAGAATATGCGGTATATGCTTGGGGTTATGTATATAGGGATAATGGAAAAGAAAATGGAAACTACTAAAATGGGTTATAATCTACTATAATATACTATACGTAATATACTATCATATACCATAATATACCATAAATTGCGACTTATAACAATAATAGGGTATAGACTTCAGACTGCCGCAAAGCACATTCTGACTTCCAAGCAGCCAGAAGCTGGTCTGCAGAGAGCTCTGGCGGAGCCTTTTTGCTATGGATCTCCGCCTGCCCCGAGCTGTTTGCACAACCCCAACCCATTAGGGTACCCATTGGGGTAATATTAGGGTTCTGTTTGGGTTATATGAGGATAATGGAAAAGAAAATGGAAACTACTATAGTATAATAGGGTATATATTGGGGTTCTATTTGGGTTATATGAGGATAATGGAAAAGAAAATAGAAACTACTATAGTATAATAGGGTATATATTGGGGTTCTATTCGGGTTATATGAGGATAATGGAAAAGAAAATGGAAACTACTATAGTATAATAGGGTATATATTGAGGTTATATTGGGGATATATTGGGGATAATGGAAAAGAAAATGGAAACTGCTATAGTATAATAGGGTATATATTGGGGTTCTATTTGGGTTATATGAGGATAATGGAAAAG